TCGGTGCAGCACTAACAGCTTATTCCCTGTTTAATCCCGTAGTTAGTGCTGCACCGAAATGTCTATGCACCCCTTACTAGTGGCCGACTCGCTTGTCTGGCCGACTCGCTTATCATCTACGTTATCGCTATAGGTTTATTATAATAAGTTACCGAGGTCGGGAAAAGTTTATTATAGCGCTAACAAGCTTCTATAATAGCCTAGCGTATATATAAAGGTTTATAGATCGGATCTTACGGCCTTACGCTAATTTCGCTAGAGGGTTTATTAACGATATAATTATCTATTTATAGTCCGAAGAAAAACACCTTTAATACCTCGAAATTATTTTTAGCTTATTCTAACGACTAAATATAATAATTTCTCTGAAAAAGAGCTAGATCGGATATCTATTAATATAGGTTCTTAGCTTTAGAGTAAATAGCGTTAGGTTAGTAACGACTAAGGAACGAATAGTTACTTTCGCCTAGCTTAAGTTCCCTAATAATCTAGCTACGTTAGAGAGCTATATCGACGCTATAGGCTTCTTATAGTATTTAATACTATATTTTACTAAGCTAATTAATCCTCTATAGCGACGTAAGGTCTAATTACTTAAAGCTAGCCGCGAGGTAGGATAAAGTAGCCGATAATAATAAGAATAAGCGTTAGGCCTATTACCGCGTTATAATATTCGAGCTTATACTAGAAGAGATTATAGCCTTCGAGGCAGTATAATCTAAAATAGCCTCTAGCCGTATATTAACGCACGATAACCCTAATAAGCGCCTATATTACTAGGTTAATATAAGCCTCGAACGTAGCTTCGCGGTAGTTCTCTTCTATACTAAAAATAACTACGATTAATAGCCCGGATCTATAATACCCGCTACCGCGGTTAGACTGATCCTCTTCGCTAGCCGCACGCTAACTAACGCCGAACGTACTTACGGACCGATAGAACTTAAATTAGCAGGCCTCGTATAGGCGATCCGGCGCACCTATATAATTATATAATTATCTAAGTAGCCGATACGCGTCCTAATAAATCACTTAGCGATTAAGCAGATCCTAGCTAAGTCTATAATAAATATGGCTAGTATATATAGAGCTAACCGTAGATTAATCATAGCCTTGATTTACCTCTCCTAATACGACCTCGAAGTCTATTATATTCCCGGTAAGAAGAACTTCGTGCCCGACGTACTTAGTTATCTTAAAGCAGCCGAATTAAACCCGTTAATATAACGTAAGCACCCTTAATATATAGCGTTAAAAGATATATACGTAGTCATAGAAGTAGTTATAAGTAACGAAATAGTTAGTTAATTCCTCGAAGGCTATATTAAGGACCGACACTAGTCTAAGATTATCACGATAATTAAGGATAGCGAGGACGCTACTAAAACTTCGACCGGCTTAGATAGAATAACGCGTTACTGAATTAACCGCCGCCGCGGCGCGCCTTTCTTCTAAGCCAAGAATAGATTATTATATAACGAAGGAATAGATATATCTATATATCTATACGTGCTATAATTAATAATCGAAGATATAATTATAACGGCACACGATAAACATAGCTACTTTAGTATCGACCGTATACTAAAGGAACTACGAGGCTTCGCTATAAAGAATATAACCGCTAAGGTTATAGTATATATCGTAAGATATAGATCTTACTACTTAGGCTAGACCGACCGATATTAGCGTATAAGAGTATATATACCTATACGGCCTAGCCCTCTACCGATATAATATATCGCGACTAACTTTATTACCCGCCTACCCCTAACGTTAGCCGTAGATTCGCCGTGGGCCCTAACTAGCTTCGATACCTTTAATTAGATTCTTACGATCACTTATACCGCTAGTAAACGAAGCCTACTAATCCCTAGCTATAAGATATATATATTAGAATATTAGGCGTAAGTATTAGCCCGAGCCTTAATACTAGCGGAATAGGGTTTTCTATTAATTATTATTAGCGACTAAGACTATAAGTTTACTAAGCTTTTCTAGAGGGGACTATAAAAAGTATTCGGCACGAAGCTAGCGATAATAATAGCGTACTATTTATAGGCTAATAAATTAGCCGAACGCTATAATTAAGTGGTCGAAATAGCGATACGGCTGGCCTATATCGAAGAGCTAGATTATAACTAGAAGCTATTACTTCTAGCGATATAATAGAATATTAATAGCACCTTTAATATCGGTAGCTAATATAACACGCACGAGTATATTTACGGCTTCAGACTTAATAAAGCGTTCTAAGCCGCTAATAACCCTAACGCCGAGACGCTACTATATATAAGAGAGGCCGTAAGAACGACGGCTTAATTAGTAATAAACCTTATAGCGATAAAAGCTAAACGATAGTACAACGCCAAACACCGACCGATATAGCTATAAGCTAGAGACCGCGTATACCTTAATCTTTATCACGGTTACTACCTCGCTAGCCGGCCGAGCCTTAAATAGTCTTAGAAGAGGATTAGCCCCTTTACGATCAAGCGGATAGTTAACGACCTCGCCGCCGAATTAAGCCTGCTTAGTAGTATAAAGATACACCCCGTGATATCGGTCTAGTACCTTAAGCTTACCTATGCTAGCGTATATGTCGACCCCGAGCCTAGGCCTATAGAAGCCTTATATAATATTAAAGATAATAAAGGAGATATATATTACGAGATCGAGAGGCTACTAAATAAGCGCTAATTAAAAAATAAAATAATTAAATATAAGGTTCGTTAGAAAGGTTAGAGCCCCTAATACGACTAGTAAGTAAATTCTATAGGTATTAGCGACGCCGCGATACGTACCTTCGAGGAGTAATTAACCCGTAAGAAGAAGTCCTTAACCCCCCGGAAGGGCAATAAGTTAAGGCGCTAAACGTAGACCGCGGCTATATAATAGATTAGACCTATTACCGCCGCGATAATATAAGGAGGAACGATTAATATAATATATAAAGACATGATTATAGATAGGATAACAAAATTATAAGGTATTAACGATAGTAACGAACGAATAATTTATATAAGTAATAATAGCGCCGGACAAGTATTTCCTTAGCTTAGATAGGCGTTACCGGGAGTTACTAAGGGTAGTAACGATTTTCTATATAGCCGGCACTATAATATACTTTAGAGGTTATATAGCTATTTAATTAAGATATATCTACGCTATGTATAGGTATTACGTGCTAGTCACGTACACGCATAGGTACGATAGCGATAAGATAGTATTAATAACGCCGCAGCTAATCAGGCTGCGCGCACACGATCCGAGGAGCAGCCGCGCCATGCCTATTTAGGCTGGCCGACTAGCTGCCCAAGGGCGTTTGAATTAATCATCCTTTTCCACTTATTTGATCTGTCTTTTAGTATATCAAGGGACTTCCTAGAAACAATAGCTAATCTCTAAGATAACGAAACCTAGGCTATATTCGATAGCTATCTAGTAGGCTCGGATAGGAGGACGAGCTACTTATAACGTACTTCTTTAACGGTCTTAAGTTAGAAGTTTAGGAATAACTCTATTATAAGGATATACCTAATTCCCTCATAGAGTATATTACGAATATAATCCGAATCGATAACCGATTATACCTAAAGCGTAAGATATTAAGGAAGGCAAGAAATATAAACTAGTTCTACCTAAACTTTAAAAGTAATAGTAACGGAGGATGTCGTTACTAACTAAACTAAGGATATCCCCGGTAATATAATACCGTATAAGCGTATACGATAAACATAGGACTAATAGACCTAGGCGCTATATAAATTAAGAACGCTGTAGCTAATTAAGCTACGCGCATGCAATCTAAGAAGTAGCCGCGTTATGCTTGTTTAGGCCAACCGACTAGCTGCCTAAGGACATTTAAATTAATTATCCCTTTTCTACTTATTTAATCTGCCTTTTAGTGTATTACTTTTATTTAGCCCCTATAGGCGGCGTTAGTTACTTAGGTCTATAGGGTCGTTGATTATTATAGCGGCAGGTACCGTGCGGCGTGGCGTGGTATAGTTTTAGGGCCTGCCTCCCTTGCGTGGAGAGGACCGCTTGTGGCTTTAATATAGAACCGGGTTTAGGGGCTGATTACGCTAGGTCTATTGTTGATAGTACTAGTTGTCTAAATTTTGCAGGTGTTAAGTATTGCTAGGTTTATTACCGCTTTTTTATTTTCGCGCGTGCAATATCTGCTAAAATAGGGAGGAGCGTCACAGATTCTTATAGTGAAGATTTTGGGTACTGCGTAGTCACGCATAGTATGGAACACTACTAGGTTGACCAGAGGGGGTTTCAACCTACAACAGACATCACGACTGTGAATAAGACTGATCCCAACACTTGAAATTTTCTCGTGCCTCAATTTGGAATGATATGAAACGAAAAAAGGTGCTCATTTATGAAACTGCACACAGAACTGCGCGTAAGCTTTAACGTATGTAACACTCGGATTGTCCTTAGCCGCTCAGCCTGACCGTTTTCTCGCGGTGTGGCAGACTACGCAAGAACAGGCACGTCCCACCCAGCCCAAGTATCCGGATTGAAACTTCCATGGTTCTTCTCCGTGCGAAAGATTTTGGTATTGCCGGAGCAAGTCTTAAGGAGAAATTTGTTGATGAAGGCAGCAAGCTCTGTGCCCTGCTTCGAGCTCGGGAATGAGCAGTGGGAATTGCCACCAACTTGGCTGTAACCAAAGCTGTCGAGCGCATCCAAAGCCTCCCATTGCTTCCTCGCCGCGCCCATGCAGCCATAAGTAGCAGTCCAGCCGAGCCACTCCATGTCGGCGTTCTCCATTACGTATAGTGCCCGCGGAGCGACTAGGCCTGCGACCATGTGGTGATCGAACGGGAGGCTGTTGATGTTGTTGACGTGCGAGTTGAACGCAGGGCTGAACCAAACATTCTCTTGGACAATTTGAGATGCTGTTTGAACGTTCTGTCCTTGCTGCTTCTGCCAGTTTCCAATACGCCAACACGCGGAACCACCAGCGCCCGATTCCTGAGGCAGAGTCAACACAATACGCTGCTCTAAGGCACCAGCAACCATGGCGCCCTTTCCATTGCGAGAGCAGCCAGTCACACCAACCCGAGTCGGGTCAATACCCACGGCAGGCGTGCTCTCGAGGGCGTCGATGATGCGGGCGACACCCCAAGCCCAGGCCGTCAAGGCGCCTGCACTGTGTCCACTTCCGTACAAATCATAGAATTTGCCGCGACCGCGAGATCCCTGGCCATCTTGTTGAGCTATCAAATTGTTATCAAAGGTGATAGTTGCGACGTTGGACGGGACAGGGATGCTGGCGAAACCAAATGCAATGATGGCTGGAACATTGGTGCCGCCGGGCTTGTTGATTGAGACCGAGAAGCTGATGGACTTTCCACCCTCACTGACGTTGATAGTTAAGCTGTTGCCACTCCAAGATCCACTAACAGATGAGGGCTTGGGTGGTAGCGTTCCGAGCTCGTACGTTTGAAGTTGGTGGGACATCTCGCGTTGACGACAAGCCCAATCGTCGAGCGAGTCGATAGGGTCGCCATTTTGAAAGATGAAAGGATTGGGCAGATACTGGCTCGAAGGTCCCGGGCCAATGGGGAAAGCCGGACATGATTGTGCTGATATTGAGTTGATTGAGCTGATAATGAGCAGAACTGCTGCTGAAAAAGGCTTCATTGCGAAGGATTGCAACAAGGAGAGTATTGATAAATGACTGTTGTGGCTGGGCTGTTTGAGGCAGCTAGCTTCAAGTATTTAAACCCGCACGGTCGTTTCCCATCTCGACTCAATTTGCCGTTTCTGTTGATGTTCACGCTGAGGGTTACACGAATGAGCGGGACAGTCATTGGTTGAAAGAGCTTAGGCGGCGGTACTTAACCGAATCCCATTCCAGGCTAAATGCAATACCACACGTCGTGATATTGCGTACGAGAAAGCGCCAGATTCCCCCGCAACACTCACATATGATGAGCTCAACTGCCGTATCTGTTCCTTAAGTGGCGTCGGCAGCTGTCTCCCGCTGCTCTTTTGGCCCGATTTGATAGAATGGCAGGGAGGATTCCGTGACATCGGTACATTTGTTGTTGACCGAGTGTTCTCATTGCTCGGATAAACCCTTCGGTCCAACGGAAACCCCTCTTTGAGGAGGTCAGTTCGGATGTTGTATGGCAACTATTCTCTTTGGAAGCAGAGCATATTGCGTCTTAATCTAACGGGCCACCGCCCGGCATGTAAAATCACTTTCGAGTTCTAGACTCACTAAGTCTGTAATTGTGGCTTGGTTAAATGTGATATAAGAGAATTATACATTGTAACTGGGCTTGTCACCCAAGATAATTGTTTTTGTGCCGGTTGAGGATGATTTCGAAATTTCCGCCAAGCCGAGGGCGACATACACATAACCTGCTAAGGCATCTTTTACATACGAGGAATAGTGATACGCATAGGGCAAGACAGTCCCTGAAAAGATTCAGGGGCCAAGGACTCAACGTTTGGGCTCGGAAGACTAGATTAATCGCCCAAGTCACCGTATGAACTACCTTCCTGATAACTTACGAGTATGCTGTGTCCGAATGTGATTCGGCCCTTGTAGCCAGGTCCAACCAAGCTTGTCAGACAAAGCGAGTACAAGTCATCGGCACGGATGTGATGATCAATCAAGTTGCTTCATCGAATAGCTATCTGATATGAAATGCAAGAATCGTAGTACAGCAGGTGTAGGGTAATTGGATCCGGGGGCACCGACTGCTGTCTATATGTGCTCGCCTCTGAAGTCTAATGGCATGGCACTTATCAACATCTACACCCCGAAACTAGTCGCCGGCAGGCCAATTCAAGCCAAAGGCATGCATTGACGGCTTTAGAAGCGAGAACAAAACGGCCAGCAAGGAGCGAAATGCATTCAACAAGAAGGCACTATCCAGCTTAAGCTACGCAATGCAAACACGCGAGCAACATAAGTCATAGATCTAATTCTTCCCAGCAAGGCCTGACTGAGAATCTGCTATGAATGTTCGCATGTGCAAACGCCCTCATACAAGCAGTGTTTGGCACGTCTCCATTCCCACATTGTCCGTCCGTAAGTGTACTTGTGCCCGTGTGAGTAAACGCGATCTTCGACAAGGCCAAACCCGGACAAAGAGGCAGAGGTTAATTAATTAAGGTAATAGAGCGTAAGACTTTTTATAAAGGACTATAGTACGATAATTATAAATAACTAATAGCTATATATACATATACTAAAACGCGAAAAAATTTCCAAGGGCTACCTTACATTCTTATATAATAATATTTAACCTTATTTTAGCCCCTATAATTTCGCTAATTAACTCGGTACTCTTCTTCCACTATTAATAACTTATTTAAGTTTTCTTATTATTATAACGTGATTAATAAGCGAACCGCCCAGACAAGCGAACCGCCTACTTTCCTAAATCCCTATAATAAGATCTTTTATTAAAACATAATAGATCATTCGATTAGTTTAAACTAATCGCTATACTTATCTCTAGATACCTCTATCTTACCCTAATATATTCGTGAATTATAGCCGGCCTTCCCGCACACACTATAATACCTTAGAGCTAGCTATACCGACCTTACCTAACTACCTCTCCTTAACGATTTAGCTACTAGCTACGAATCTATATCCTTTTGATTAATTAATACTCGACCTTCCTCTACTATTATAGTCCTTCTATTTCGTAGGCGGGTCTTTTTCTCTCTCCGGCGCTAGCTAAGGATATAGTTAGTATCTCGAAGATCCCGGACCTCTATCTTTAATAACGCTATCTCGTACTAATATACCTTTAAACCCTTAGTTATTAATATTATAGCGTTAATTATTAATACTAAGGAGCTACTTTTATATCTCTTGATTCGATTTTTAAGGTAGGTAGACTAAGATTTAGTCTCCTTAATTATCTTAAGGGTCTTTAAGACCTAAGGGTTAGGAAGCTCTAGAGTCCCCTTAGGAGGCGTTAGAGTATATAGCTTTATATCTAGCTTCGAGATTATATATTCCGTATCTAGAGGGGTAATTTTAGCCCCTCTAAAGCCTCCCTTAATATTACTTTCGGTTAATATAGCTCGGAATATAGCGTAGAAGGCGTGAAGAATCTCAGTCTTTAAAACGTATATTATAGAGTATTTAATTAAATATTCTATTTCTCGACTATATGCTGTTTTAAGCGGCCTAAAGTAGCCTATATTAAGAGGCTAGAGTAGGTAAGACGAATAAGGAGGTATATAGAGCGTAATAATCTTATTCTCCTTATAATATACCTCGAACTCGGTAGAGTAATGGCTTTTATAGCCGTTAAGGATCAGAAGACGATAGGCACTATTCGATCGCTTCTCTATATATTAATTAAAGTACTTTAGCTATAGGAGACCTATAGTATTATCGGTCTAGTGTGACGTTCGGGTCTAGACTAGCTATCGGGTAGATAGAATAGAAGTCGGGTTATGAACTGAGTACACTAGGGTATCGTTGACTTAAGCGGTCGGGTCATAGTCTATGTGCGAGATAGTAGGTCTTACGTAGATAATTATATTAATAGCTAAGGAGAGCTGGTAGAGAATGACTATAGTAAAGCTAGGCTTCCTATATACTAAGGTGATTATTATTCCTGGCAATAATCCATCTACTTATTCGCAGCGATTCGTAGTGATCGCAATAATCGCGGGCGCGATCATTTATATAAGTAATAATCGTACTATAAGTGGTAGGAAAAAGTAAGGCGTGCCTAGAAGTACGTGAAGGCCGTATATTAGGTCGTAATATAATACCCCTCCTCTTAAGATCTTATCCCTAAGATTATTTAAACGCCTATCCCTATTCCGTTAGTTCTAGTGAGTTTCCTGTTTAATTATTCTCGCTATATCCGGCCGTGTTACTAAACGCGCGCAGAAATCGTCCGTTAACGCCAAAGAGCGTAAGATCTGACTTCTTGAAACTATTTTCGCGTATTCCGTTGATATACCTACTTACTCTAATTCCGAGCGTCGTGGGCTCAAGACCTATCAGGTCTCTACCGATGATTCTTCCCGTTACGCTAAATACGTTCGCTCGAATCATTCAGCTTGCGATATTGGCGGAGTATCTACCTCGTAGCTTCGCAAGATCGCCGAATAACACCAGAAACTCGAGACCGAACTCGAGCGTACGGAGGAAAAAGTACTCCGTCTTCGAAAGCAAAAGAAATTATAGTTCGAGAAGATAATAAGGGCCGTGTCTCGTGGTATTAATAGCGTAGAGGAACTAGAGCGCGTAGAACATAAGGAGGCCGAACACGAGCAAAGGCGATCGGAGGTATCGGGTTCCTCCGCTAGTCGTTCTTCCACCGAGAACGTCCTAGAGCCTGATTTTATACAGACTTAGGACGCGGTATACGAAGATATACCGCTAGACCTATCTATTTTAGCTGATTTCGGTTTAGCTAGGCTCGATAGAACTACCGTAGTAGGTGGCCGTAGTTTATAAGGTATTTAGCGGGTTCTTATATATTTTCACTACTTACGTATCCTTTCTATTTAATAAGGTACTTGATTTCTCTATTAATTCTTTATTTATCGAGAAGTCGTTCTAGTTCGTAGAGTTCTTCGAGAACCTCTAATTCGTACTTAGTTTTTACGTTTTATAGTACTTTTTCGAGAAATAAGATATAAAAAACTAGGTATATCCTTATACTTAAGGGTAGTAAAAGTTTATAGTTAGTGTCTAAGATAACTTCGTTAACTTTAAATAATTTAAGTTTTTTATAATCGAGTTTTAATAAAGGTCGAGTTATTATGAAATTTTTATATAATAAGTAGACTATATCTCCTCTTCGAAAGATCGGTCCCTTCGATCTTTTCTTATTATAGTATTTCGATATTCGTATTTATACGAATTCGAGTTATTTTTTTATATATTCGTATAAAGAGCGTAGCTAATCTACTTCTAGTATTACCTTTTTAGCCAGGGGTCTATCCCTTAGTGTTTTACTACCGAACTTAAGTTCGTATCCGTAGTTTGCGTAGAACGGTAAGATTTAGGTTAATTCCGTTAGCGCGCTATTATAAGCGAGTTAGGCGAGTAGTAGCTTTAAGACCTAATTATCTTACTCGTAGTTAATATAATACCGTAAGTACTGTTCTAACGTTTGATTTAATCTTTCTATTTTTCTATCCGTCTAGGGGTAATAAGCTATACTAAGTTTGTGCTTAGTTCCTAATTAAGCTATTAAGGCTTACTAGAATTTCGAGGTAAATATTATTCCTTTATCCGAAATAATTTCTTCCGGAAGGCCGTGGTTAGCCACGATATATTTAAGTACGGTATACGCGAGTATTTCTATATCCGTTGTTTCTTAATATAGTAAGAAATATCCGAATTTACTTATTCGGTCCGTAATAACGAATATACTATTATATTCGACGTTAGATCCTAGTTCGATTAACTTAGGTAGCTTCGTGATATAGTCGAAGGCTATTGATTCCTATAGTCTTAAAGGCATAGGTAGTGGCTTCAGTTCTCTATATAGTTTATGTCAGGTAGCCTTACTACGTGCGTAATCTTCGTATTATCCGATAATACGTGCGATATCTATTTTAATCCCTTAGTAGTCGTACGTTCGTCGAATTCGTTCTAGAGTCTTTCTAACTCCTTAGTATCCTACTATAAGGTACGCGTG